AGAAGATAAGTACATAGTCGAGCATGCTAAATCTGATGGCAGCGTTTATTTTATCTTACTTTATGTTAGTCTGTCTCTTTCAAGGTCATTGGAAGCCACTGTGTGCCAGTCCTGGTGCTCCATGGAATTAAAAAACAACATCATATTGTAGAAAATTTCTTGCTGAATTTTTTTGTTTTTGTTGAATAAGTGATTTTTAGCGAGGTTTAGCGCAGAAAATCGATTTTTTTCAAAGGGGAATTTAAAAAATTTCGAGCTTTTCTGTTAAACTTACTGTGTCAAATACATCGAAGATGAATCTTAAAAATGAATATACAATTATTTATTAACCTATACTTTTAGGGTAAATAAGGATACGTTAACAAAGAATAATTAAACAAATTGATGTAAATTCTTATTATCCATGCCGAGAGCAAGAAAATATATCCGTTCTTGCATATCTCATTGTACTAAATAAATTTCCTGGAAATACTAAACAAAGCGGATAGATAAGGGCCAATTGTTTAAAAGAAAAGTTTTTCTTTTATCTATTTGCTCAACTTTAATCAATAAATCAAATCGCAAAAGAGCACTCAACAGAACAGAAAGAGTTTCAACTTTTCAGGTAAATGGAAAAAGGTTAGATTTTTTTTATAAAAATATTTATAAAATCTATTATGAATGAACAATTATCCGGTTGTATCTGAACTTTTTCACAGAACTTCGATCACTATTTTTCTTTATTTTTTATATATATAAATTTAGTATAAAATTTTTCCTTCAAAGAGAGAAGATTGAGTTAATGTCGCTAATTCCCTACGTGTGTGCACAATTTCTCTACGCACTAGTTCATTGTTGATACACAATATGACGCACTTTTCTGTCAAAATACCTAGATTTCAACTTTTTAGTCATACATTGACACTCGGCATAATTGTTCTAAATTTTCAGTGTTCTCTTGTATCTTTGTTCTCGGAGCCAAGATAAGTTGACCAATCCAAGACTAATATTCGTAGTATACATGCGTGTATATGTACACTAATTTTTTTCCTGAAGAGATTCTTTCTTCTGTAATATATAATTCTCGTCTCTCTCGTCACCCATTATTGCATAGAATCTTCTATTTATAGAGTGATTTGTCTATATTCTTATTGTTCGTATCCGTACGCACGTCTACGAAAAGGAAAAAAATTCTTTTTCACCTATAAATAGACGCACATTTCAGTCTTTTTAAAGCCAAATTCTTCAACTACACTGCCCCTATAGTGTATATTCGTCACTTCACATCGTCCCGTCATTCAGACTACACGCACATTCACAATATATTTCTATTTCATATCACGTAAGTTCGTTTCAATTTCTCCTTTTTATATAGTACAATACAGTCGAGTAATATAGTGGGTAAATAAAGTTCAACATACAAAGTCAGTGAAAACTATATCGAGATAGGGAGCTAATGTACCTAGGGATAAGATTATAATGTTGTTTCTTCTTATGTGGAGATTTTAGTCAGATATTTGTCTCATAGGCAGTTTTGAAGAGAGGTTTCATTTGAAGGATAGAAATTCATTGTAGTGGACAATAAGACTAGAAAGTAGCAACTTGCTGTTTTTAGTATTTTTTATTATTTCTTCCAATCTTTAATTTGATCTACATGTGCCACGTTTTTTTCTAGTTCAATAAATAATGCCACCTAAAACAGCAACAAAAGAAAAAGATCCAAATGCACCAAAAAAACCATTATCAGTAAGTTTTCAGTACAGCTAGCTCTTAAGACTCTCTTATAATATTTTTTTTGTTTTTAGCCTTATTTCTTATTTCAAGCTGATACGAGACCAAAAATAAAAGCAGAAAATCCGGATATGGCATTTGGTGATATCGGTAAGTTAACTCACAATAAAAAGAAGACTAGTGACGATTGATCTGTATTCAAGTGAATTTGACAGTACTTGTTAAATAGATCTTATCCGTTGACTTGCTTTTAGAAATGTTCTGAAGGAAACTCTGGATTAGTTCACGCATATTGGCATATTCACAAGATTATACTTTTGTTTATTTTTATTCTTTTAGCTAAAGCTATTGGTACTGAATGGAAAAATGTGAAGCCGGAAACCAAAAAACATTATGAAAAACTTGCCGAAAAAGAAAAGGCACGTTATGAAAAAGATATGGCTTCGTATAAAAATGGTACATTTCAAGCGCCAGCAAGTAATGGTGCAAGTTCAAAAAAGAAAAAACCGGCTACAAATGGCAAAGCATCATCGAAAAAGCCCGCTCCAGCTGCCAACGACGACGGTGAAGATGATGAATCAGATTTAGACGATGAAAGTAACGAAGAAGAAGAAGAGTAAGCGAAGAAAAAACTACCAACGACTAAAAATATGTCGTTGTGGACTCTGTTTGTGCTTATTTTTCTTAAAATGTTGTACAGTGTTTCGTCCGAAAAAATGATTTTTCTTATTTTTTTTCGCATTTTGTCGAGAATGATGAAATTATCGACGTCGTGCGGGTCAGATAACTTTTTTTAATTAAAATTTGTTGTAGTTAGACTACATGTTTTTTTGTTGTGCCTGTTTACAATTTCACTGTACTTTTTTTTTTTAAAAATTAAATAATAGATAATTCTGAAGTCAAGGTTTGCGGGCTAACAAGTTTAAGTAAACAAATATTGAAAATAAATATGAGATTTTGTCATTCTATGAACAAAGTCAGACATGTGAAAAAAGGAATCAGAACGCCGATAGTTATTTGATCACTGATTTTTTCACAATTAACACGAAGCATCATTTCTCGTATGTGTTAGTTATGCCATATTGTCAGACAAGTTGCTTGACATTCACCTAATTAGATGTAGGTATTTGGAATTTTGGTTAAGTATATCGTGATAAAGTTATTATTAAAGCTCTGGTCCTATTAGTTAATGTTGCTAATTAGCTGTCAATGATGATGAGTGTTTTTTTTGTATCAACGTATATTTTTCATATATGTAAACTTGTGAGTAAGGAACGCTTAAACGCATTTTGAATAAATTTTGAGTGAAAATATCTGTGAAAATGTGTTGTACATATCAATCACTTGATTTATGATAAAATTTCATTTCCGTTCACTATTAGCATTTGTTTAATTATATCATCTGTGTAAAGAGAGAACTGTTGATGTTACTTGTTACAGTATGATTTAACAGTGACATGTATGCAGTTCCAAATAGTTTAATATCATTGATATTAATCAATGTTTTCATGTTGTCTGCAATTATGTTTCGTAGCGCGTATTCGAAGATAAATCAATGTGTCATTGTTAATATCAGGAATTGTTTTTTAATTGGAAGAAATAAATAGTAGTGAGTGACGTAAATCATTGTTGAAATCGGATCTTAGAAAACAGTTTGTATTAATTGAAGATTATCTTGTGCGCTTGTCTCAATCGCCATGTAACGGGTGGTCCAGATTAAATTGCCGGTTTCTGATAGGCTTTTTTCTCAAGTTAGACTCGATCAGAAGGTATGGTTCTGATGCTAAAAGATATAGAATTTTGTGTAGATTTTATTGATATGTTCTTTTTTAAATAAACATGTACCGTTCTTTTGTAGCATTAAATATGTGCGCTATTCAGACACACTATGAAAAAGTACAGAAACGTATTTGTTTTTGAGACACAAAACAAAACTCTTGGACTGAGTTTTACGATGTTGAAAACCGCCTACAAAATATGCGTAATTATCTATTTTTGGCGCACTTTCAGGGCAATGCAACACATTTCAACTTCGTCATTCGGTTAGAAAAGAGATCAGCCGTTGTAAAGAAGAGCATTTTGTAGAGCTTTAAATTATATCTGTTTGCATAAAACGGATAACTTTTGGAAGGCCAAGTTGTAAGAAAATTGCTAAAGAAAAGTAGGATGCCGTTGTCGGTGAACGTCTTTTTGATGTTTTGCAGTTTTCGAAGGAGCAGTAACTAAGCTTAACAAATCCAACGCACGACAAGATACGCCGAAAAATTCTACATCCCTTACTACAAGAAAGAAATTTTTGAACTCTGTCTAGCTGGACAAAATAGATTTTTAGACGTTTCCAATTTTGTAGTTGTCCAAGTGATATTTTTGTGGCATCCATTACTTTTAATGCTACAAAAGAACGGTACATGCTTATTTAAAAAAGAATAAAATAAAATCAATAAAATCTACACAAAATTCTCTATCTTTTGGCATCAGAACCCAACTTTCTGGTCGAGTCTAATTTGAGAAAAAAGCCTATCAAAAACCGGTAATTTAATCCGGAACATCGATTATTGCGTACTAGAAACCGGACCATTCTTAGAAAGTACTATGAGGCGTTATTACAAGAGCCGTCTCTTTTCTGTTTCTTTTTCGGACAGTTTCGTTGCTGGACATTGTAGTCTGTCTGTTTTAATCGCCTAAAACCGATGCTAATAAGCGTAAGTAATCTT